AATAACGCTCATGACCCCAATGCCAAGTTTCTAGAGTGCATGTACTCTGATTTGGTTGGTCCAATAAAGGAATCTGCTGGTGGCAACAAGTATTTTGTCAGTTTTCTGGAAGGAAAATCCAGATATGTCTATACCTACCTGCTTAGGAGCAAAGATGAGGTGCTTGACAAGTTTAAATGCTATGTTGCTGCTGTTAAAAACAAATTTGGCAAAGCGCCAGACTTTCTATGCTAATGCAATCTGGACTTTCAGAGTCTTACTGGGCAGAAGCAGTCCACACTGCCGTCTATTTGCATAACAGAGTTCCATCAAAAACTACCAATAAAAGTCCTTTTGAAATGGCATAACAGAATACCTGGACTTAAACATATAAGAGCCTTTGGATCTAAAGCTTATGCACATATACCAAAGGAGAAAAGAGGCAAACTTGACCCAAGAGCAGAACCTGGTATCCTGGTGGGATATGCCTCTGGAGGAAAAGGATACAGAATCCTGAACCCTAAGACTTGCACAGTTAAAGTATGCAATGTGGTACATGTTGATGAAAGCAATGTCCTACAGACTTCTAACCTGGCTGAGTCCACAGTGCAATCTGCTACTCAGGAACCTACAGATGTTTCCTTCAACGACATGTTCGCTTGGCAATCTGCGCAGACCACCTGTGAACAGGCAGGTCCATCTCCACGAGAGAGTTCCAGCTCAGAAGGAGTTCCAGGAGAAGCTATGCCAAGGGTAAGAGAGTCAACCACTGTGAGACAATCAGCAAGGAATAACAAGGGTGTACCACCACCGATGTATGGAATTTGTGCAAGTGTACAACCAGTGAAGGAACCTAATAACTGGAAGGAAGTCAACAGACTACCTGTGCCTGAGAGAAGCAAGTGGATAGAAGCAATGGAAGAAGAATTCGGATCTTTACAAGACAAAGTTTGGACTCTTACTGAATTGCCTCCTGACAGAAAAGCCATTGGCTGCAAGTGGGTGTACAAAGTAAAGTATGACCCTGATGGCAAATTAGACAAATACAAGGCACACCTAGTTGCAAAAGGCTTCTCCCAAAAATTTCGAATTGCTTTTTCAGAGACTTTTGCACCTGTTGTGAGTTATACATCATTCAGGACATTCCTATACATAGCAGCATCAAGGGGCATGCACGTTGAACATTTGGACATCAAGACAGCCTTCCTCAGTGGAGACCTGAATGAAGAAATCTACATGAAACCACCAGAGGGATTTTCAACAGAAGGACAAGAAGGCCTAGTGTGTAAACTCAACAAAAGCGTCTATGGACTAAAACTAGCAGCCAAAGCTTGGAATGAAAAGCTGACTGAACTGCTACAAAAACAGAGCTTTCAACAAGAAATAGCAGAACCTTGTTTGTTCTCGACTTTAAAATGGAAAGTATCAATACATACTCATTTATGTTGATGATTTGATTATTTGTTGTCAAAATCAAGGAGATGTACAAGAAATAGCGGATGAACTGAACAAAGAAGTTGAAGTGAAACAATTAGGAACTATAAAGTACTACCTTGGAATACAAATTGAAAGAACTGATGATGGAAGTTTTCTTTTGAACCAAAAGCAAAAGATCATGGACTTTATTGAATCTGTAGGAATGAAAGATTCCAATCCAGTAAGCACTCCAATTGATAAGGACTAT